TGGGGCTGCGCGCAGCCCCTGCTCCACCCTGGCCTCGCCGTGCCGAGAGGCCCATGCCGCTGGGGTCCGAGCCCTGCGCTGGGCGGGCGGGGGAGGATCCTGGGCGGCTTTCGGATGTTTCTTCTGTGCTTGACTGAACTGATCCGGTTGTATGTTACCGGAGGCACTCCTCCTGTTATTGCTGTTTTTAAACTCTTATGGTTTCCTGCCTTTAGACACGAGTTGGTAAAATGCTGTTCTGATAGGTACGAACAATAAGTGTTAGAAGTAACTTGTGGGTCTCTGTTTAACTGTAGATCTCGAAACCTTTAGCCCTCCTAGGAAACTGATAAAGAATAGTCAGCTTTATTTTTCACTCTTCTCTTTTGAAGACTTATCTCGGGCAGAGTGCAATTACTGCTTAACACAAAGGTGTAACACAGCACACAATTCCTCAACCCAGACAAATGGGCTGGGGAAGCTTTGGAACTTCTTTATACAGCTTTCCTAGCTATTTGTGTTCCCTTTTTCTGAGGGCAATAGGCATTCAGGACTCAGAACTAAGCAGCTGAGTTTTCCTTTACTTCTCCCTTCATTTAAAAAAAAAAAAAAAGAAAAAGCTAATTCTCTGCTGCAGGTAGAACAGCTATACAGGAAGGCATTTAGGGGCAAAGGAAAAACCTCCCTGGATGTCAATTGCATGATTCTTTGGTTTGAGCAATGAATTCCTTACTATTCCTTACTACAATGGCAGTCTGGTAACTAGTCTGTATGCCTTAGCGCCCCGATTCTGCAGGGTTTTTAAGTAGCTGATTGTATAGCTTTTTGCACAGTGTTCTTCGTTAGGCAGACAAAATAGCAGCTGTTACTGCCTGTATGTTGATCTAGAGTTGCTTGTTAACTTGTATTGGCTAATAACTAAACTGGAGGAGGTATCACGAGGCTTTTCCAGCAACAAAAATTGCTTGTTGGAACTAGCATAGAAGAGAACACATAGCATAGAGGAGGTGGTGTTGCTAGCGCCTATTCTTTTGGCTGTCTCCTCTGTGCAGTGTGTTCAGGAAGCTGATAAGAGAAAGCAGGAAGCATGCAGAGTGGTTTCTTGTTCTTGGGTTCTGGCCCCTTCCCCCAGTGTCACAGATGCTTTATTCATTTATCTTGTAGACATAATAGCCTGGAGGAGTACGCTCTGGTGCTGATACCTTGTACCAGCCTGTATTTGCTGGGCTGAATTTCAGCTGCTGAACATAAGTAGCATTTTCTATTTGAATAAGGAAGGTTTTTCAAAAGCAGCTCCTGCATTGGTGATGCAAATGTTTTTGTTTTGTTTTGTACTTTTGTATCAAGTCACCTACTCTGTAAACTGTCTAGTTTTAATCTGTGCAAGAGCACACAACTTTCATAATTTATTTTCAATTTTTTCTAAAAATAGTTCTGTTAATGTTCTTCATCTTTTGGAGAAGGCAACTGCTCACTTTACAGGTGAAGGAACAGAGAGCATCCGTGATCTTCTGAGGCTATACCGGTTCACTGATGGCTAAAATTATAGCTCATGAGATCCTGGCTTTCGTTCTGCTGCTGAGACATCTGGATTGTGTCTTCTTGCACTTCCTATCTTTGTTTATAACACAATTGCCCATAAGACGGCGTAGGCTGAATTTTTCAATCATATTTTTTTTTGCCATATCAGCTGGGGGCTATTTGTTATTTCTTCCCTGGTACTTGTAATAAATATCAATGGAAAGATCTAGCTACCAATTGTAGGTTTTTAAGGATAATACTTTGCTATATTTACTGGTAGATTAGTTTTTTAAAAGTATACAATACAGGAATTACTTTCTGATATATCTGAAATGAGGAGGTAGTCAAATATGGGTACATGTGAATAGAAAGGATTAGATCTTGCGTAATCATGACTTTTTGAAAATGAATAACTTGGGCATGCATGTCTAAAAGTTTTCTGATCAACTATGCCATATTTAGTTCCTGACTACTGAAAACTTTTGACTGGATTTTGAGGAGAAAAACAGCGTGAAGCCTTAAGTGCTCTAGCAAGACTCCATGCTTTGCAGGAGTTGACTCATTTTCATTCACAACTTGGAAATAGCTTTTCTGAGAGAGAAATTCTTCTAGAAGGCAAATTTAATGACCCTTATATTTCCAGCATTAAAAAAAAATGACCTAATCCCCACTTGTAACTCTCACAGCTGTTGTCTTCCATTGCCAAAAGTATTACACTACATTCTTCTAGCTTTAGTTCCTACTCCTAAGAAAATTGGGAACCTCTTGCTTATTATGTGTTTATGGAATAGGCACTAAGGTACAGATTGTTCTTTGTTACTGATGCTAGCAAAATGTCTTTAACTGAAAAAGGAAGAGCTTCAGCCTGCATTTCTAGCTGAGGACTAGTAGTGCAGGAGGAAGGATGAAGGACTGTTTTAGACATCCTGATTGTTTAGGTTCAAATAAGGAGCATCACCAGTTGACAAGGAATTAATTTGGGATATCTGAGAAATGTGATAGGTGTGTCTCACATCTGTGAAAGGCTGTCTGTCAGAGGCACAAAACTGCTGCATGTCAGCCAGAGATGCGAGACTGAAAATCTTGCTGAGTTTGTTAAACTGCAAGTGATCAATACAGTATATTGGTCTAGTGCAGAGAGACCTGGGCAGC